TATAGGTGCATTAGGATTATTGTACTTCTGTTGTGGATCTTCAAATTGATCATCGAAATCCTTGTTTAATTGTTTACGTTTTTTATTGTGTACAACAGTAATAAATTCATCATCATCTTGTTCACGCATACGTCTACAAGGAGACTGTGCAGGAGAATCTAACATTCTAAGATTAGTTGTAGTAGGTGGAGGAACACGATTTTTACGATTTTGTTGTTGATTATTCAGATAGTTAAAGTGCATATTTGATTGTGGATCATAATGATATTCAGGAGAATTATCGACGATATTTGCAGATGAATTTGTGTGATAACGAGTATTTTCATTGGTGTTGGTACAATTAGGCAGGTGGTGATAATTTTTCACCATATTTGTGAATAATAATTTCAAAAATTGATGAAATTATGAATAAATAACCTGACACGCGTTCGACGCGTGATCAGAACGTATATATAATATATATGTATGTAGCTAGTATAGAGAGAAAAAAAAAAAAAAAAAAAAAAAACACGTCCGATCACCAAATAGACGAAGAAGAGAATGATTGGTGCTAAGATTTCAAGTCAGCTAGTATAGATGATTCTCTTTTTTTTCCATACATTAGTTCTGGTTGTTTCCCGCTGGAGTATTCACTTTGCGAAAAATCTGAACAAAAAAAAGAGTCATCTGTTGTTTTTCAGTTGATCAATATTTCATTTCTAAGTTCGTCTAGATTTTACCCTCATATAAAAAGATACGCTTTTCTACTACTCAAAAAATGAAAAAAAAATGAAAATCAAGCGAACCAAAAGTTACTGCTAAAATGAAGACATATGTGAGAGTCGTTCGCTTTAGAAGCATCGGCTAGTTCTTATTCTTACTCAGCCGAAGGCATAAGTGTTGATGGTTGGTGTAGACAAGAGTGAAGAGAAGACTCTCATCTACTCTTTAACACGTATTAGCAACTGTTTCACAAGAAGCACTTATTATTTTTCAATAATTTTTCCTTTCAATTTTATTTCAAATTAGAATATATTGTATTGAGCTGTAAATTAAACTTGAACGAAATATTTGGATTGTAACATCGTCAATCAATTTATCAGTAACTGTTTAGCACGCCTAGAATCGCTTCGTCATGATCGATGGATTCCAATTTTAATCTAGATGAAAATGAATAGTGAAATTACATAAAATGGTGCACTACTCCACTGCACTGACTCCTTTTCGTGTGATCTTGAAACAACAAGATTAGATAGGTTCGATAAATAAAAACAGAGAATAACAATATACAATGCAGACAGCAAAAAAAAACGAAAAAAGAGTCAGCGAGGAGCAAACATAGGCGATAAAGGCATCATTTATTTTCTTTTCTCTCGTCTATGCGATGCCTTCAGCATTGTATCGTAATCACATGTTTTTTTTCACAACATAGCTGCGACAATCTTTGACGTTATGATACGTAAGCGAAAGGAATTGTGTTACTGTGCATTTGCCAGACCGATAAAGATTTTCATCGACATTTTTCTGTTTTTTAATCACAATAGGCATGATCACAAAGTGGTATCTTAGTTTTCAGAGACTGTCGAGAATCTCTTCATGCAGAATACTAAGTTAAGCTGTACGAATATTTTCTTTACAAAACATTTGCAAATACGATACATTGATTTTAAACAAGGATGTATCTCTACTACTATTTTGTGAAACACAATCTAAAAGGAGTATTGAAGTTTATACGGTACAAAGAACATGCTGCAATAACGGCGTTTCTTTGCCCATGATATTTTTGACTTTTATCTATCTGAGAGGTGTCAGAGTACTACTAGAAGTGTTTCCTACGATTTAGTTTTGAAAAATCTCAAAGTGATGTTTTAACTCCCCTTGGGATACCGTCCAGGATCCGAAAAAATTGTTTTCTTCAGATATCTTCAGAAGCTTATCATTTATATGTTATTTTGCTCGCTGATTACGAATATCATATTTATATTTCGATTGGGTTGAGTTTTACACATGGAAAAAGCATTTTACCGTTAAATGGGCTGTACACGCATTGTACCATATATCAGAGGTGTCCACCACGGCAGTGACGCGGTAGCGGTAGGACTTTTTTGGAGGACATTGAAAAACTGCATGAATTTAATAGAATTTCAGGGTTTACAAATGAAACACCCCCAGATTGAATGAATCTGATGGAGTAGCACCAATATCTCTGGTCAAATACAGTCGCAGCAGTGAAATTAGAAACACTTTTTGAAAACCGCCGCGGTGACACGTTTATTTTATAATTCATCGCGGCAGTGGTGCAGCAGCTTTTTTTTCTAAGCCCATGGCAGATTTTCAGCCGCGATGGACATCTCTGCCATATATTAGCCTGTCTATATATGAAAACCTTGTTTTTCTCTCTCCAAAATATGCCCACATGTGGACAAATACCTGCTCTATTTATTCCAAGTCGATTCAGTCTTAAAAACCATTCATAAGCCATCGAATTGTTTCATTCAATTAAAAATATCGCACAGAAAGCCGTGATTCATCCTTTTGTGTCATCTTTTAGTGCCGCAAAATGCTTGAGTGTCAAAGAGCCATATATATCATTCGATGCAGTTTTATATGCTGATTCTGAATATAAATTCGAAAATATGAAAGAAATTGAATAACATACTGAAAACCCTAGGAACGACCGTTTTTGGGTCTTTATTTGCTCAATTTATGTTCAAAAAACGCTTCGAATTTCAATTTGAGTGTCATATTCAGATTCAGCGGACAAAACTGCATCTAGTGATATGCTCGACATAGCTTTAGTGAATAGTTTTCTATCGTTCGAAAAATTCGCCTGGGGTCTCCACGGAAAAAGCCGAAAAGTCAAATGACTCCGCATTGGTCCAAACATTGTAGGGTAGATCCAAAGGAGATTTCTACCAACGTTTCATACCGTTTTGAAGCTTTCTACTAGACTTTGAACTACTTTATAGTCATTTGACTTTTCGGCTTTTTCCGTGGAGACTGCAGGGGAGTGTTTCGAACGATAGAAAGCTATTCACTAAAGCTATGTCGAGCATATGACTAGATGCAGTTTTGCTCGCTGAATCTGAATATGGCATTCAAATTGAAATTCGAAGCAATTTTTGAGTATAAATTAAGCAAATAAAGACCCAAGAAAAGGTCGTTCCTAAGGTTTCTAGCATGTTATTCAATTTCTTTCATATTTTCGAGTTTATATTCAGAATCAACACAAAAAACTGCATCGAATGGTATATGATTCTTTGACAATCAAGCATATTGTGGTACTAAAAGGTTACACAAAAGGATGAATCACAGCTTTTTGTGAGATATTTCTAATTGAATGAAACAATTCGATTGCTTATGAATTGTTTTTAAGACTTAATCAACTTGGAATAAATAGAGCAGGTATTTGTTCACACGTGGGCATATTTTGGAGAGGGAAAAACAAGGTTTTCATATACAGATAGGCTAATATATGGCACAATGGGTGTATAGCCCATTTAGCGGTAAAATGCTTTTTTCATATGTAAAACTCAACCCAATCGAAATATAAATATGATATTCGTAATCAGCGAGCAAAATAACATATAAATGATATGCTTCTAAGGATATTGGAAGAAAAAAAATTCGAATCCTGGAGGGCATCCGAGAATGGTTAAAACATCACTTTGAGATTTTTCAAAACTAAGTCGTAACAAATACTTCTAGTAGTACTCTGACACCTCTCAGATAGATAAAAGTCAAAAATATCATGGGCAAAGAAACGGCCTTATTGCGACATGTCCTTTTTTACAGAATATTCTCTGGTTTTGTCGGATTATCAATTTGAAATTCGTTTCGGATGTAACTCGATATTTGTTGGAAAAGTGCAAGAAGGGTGTGGATGTGAGGTGTGTGATGTGGGTAGAGTGCGTGGATGGGGGTGTGGGTGTGGGTCTCTATGGTGTCGATGGGTATGGATGTTCTCTCATCCCACACTCACACTCACCCACATTTCATCCACTCATACCGCACACCACGCCCACACCCCATACCCACGCCCACAACCATGGGTTCCAGGTCCCTGAGAACGGAACTCAAAAGTGACAACTCTATGCGAAACATAGCAGCATTGTTTTTCCATTGAAAAGATCTCGCCGAGGTCTTCACTATCAACATTGCTGCACTGTGCTGCCTTTAGTTTAAATGCACACACACACGATATTGGATTCATCGAACACTGTTAGAAGACCAATTGAAACAAGCAGATAATAGAGATTGCTGCGCTTCTTGCTATCATGATAATGTATCAAGTACAACGCAGTGTTGGCGAGATCAAAAACTATTACAGTATAAAGTAATGCATATTCACAAAAGTGTCCTCACGCATCCACTATCTTTATTTTTCGCTTTGTTGTCACGTTATCAACGTCAGCAGTGTTGACTTTGCCCTATACACCAAAAACATTATCATTTCAGATTGAAGAACAGACATGTCGCTGGAATTGTCTGTGTGGCTGGGTGCAGCTATTGTATTTTTAGTTATCCTTTGGATTATTAGTACTGTCCGACATAAACATAGCTACTTTATAACGAATCACATTCCTGGGCCGCCACCGACATTTTTGCTCGGCAATTTAGGCACACTCTGGCGGACAACACAATATTTTCGTCAGTTGGAAACGTGGACACGGCAGTATGGCAAAATCTATGGCATGTTTGAAGGCATGACTCCCATCTATGTCGTGTCCGATGTTGACTTTCTCCAACAAGTGTTTATTACACAATTTGCCAATTTCACTAGACGCAAGCCACTATTGTTTACGTTGCCCGGTGAAGACAAGCGGGTGCATTTGTTTAACGCGAGCGATGCGACATGGCGGCGTCAACGACGCATTATCACTCCAACATTTAGTAAAGCTAAACTCACACAAATGATGCTGCTGATCAACAAATGCGTTGATGAGCTTATACACACACTTTCATCATACGCTGATAACAACGTGGATGTCAATGTTCGTCCTTTGTACACTAGAATGAGCATGGATGCAGTGCGTAAGTAGAAGAGCACAGGAATATTAATAATACAGATAAATCTTTAAGTTCGTTGTGGCTTTTCATTCGAAACAAACGTACAACAAGACTCCAATAATCCATATTTGACAAAGTTCACCGAAACTTTGGCTATCGACAATCGAAAACTACTGTTTGTCAAAGTGGCCAGTGTACTACCGACACTATGCGGCTTTGTTCTTCGAATTGTTCTAGCTTTCAATGCATTGCTATTCAAGTTGAACAAAACATTTTCATTTGTTCATTTTCCCGAGTTGCCCATTCTCTGGCTGATGGCACGTGCTGGTGAACATGTTTTACATGCTCGACGCGATGTTAACACAAATGGTCGTGTTGATCTTCTTCATCTTATGCTCGATGCAGCCACCGATCAGATTGTTTCGGTAAGAAAGGAGAGAAGATGATGTTTTCAAACTATTTGATTTCGGACAAGTCGATAATTGTTCTTGTTGTCGATAGGACGAAAAAGTGCAACGTGATGAGAACATCGAAGCATCATTGACACCACGACTTACCAATGTCAACAAGTTGACATACGATGAAATCATAGGCAATATATTTCTATTTCTAGTTGCCGGTACAGAGACAACATCAACCACGCTTGCTTTTTGCACATATGTGTTGGCTACACATCCTGATGTACAGCAAAAGTTACAAGATGAAATTGATGCAAATGTTGGCGATAGTGCTCAGTTATCGACATACGAAATAGTCGACAATTTAGAATATTTAAATATGTTCATCAAAGAAGTAAATCGAATGTTTCCGATAGCACCGCTCGTCACTAATAGGCTCTGCATTCAAAACACCACAATCGGTCAATATACAATAAAAGAGGGTAAGAAGTTTTAGCCATATAGAAGCTAGAGTTCTAGACACAGTAATTTAGCTAAGCAAATCGTTGTTTTATCAAAACTTTTGCAGGTACAATCGTGCAAGCCGATGTCTACAGCATCCACTATGATGCTGATCTCTGGGGTCCTGTTGATCCATATAAGTTTCACCCCGAACGGCATGCGGTCAAACGACATCCACTAGCTTACTTGCCTTTCGGTGCTGGACCACGTAATTGTGTCGGTATGCGGTTTGCTCTGCTACAATTAAAGATGGCCTGTGTCCAACTTCTAAAAAAATTTACAGTTTTGAAAAGTGACAAGCTCGAAAACACTTTTCGCATCGTCGAACTGACAACGATCGTACCAGAAAGTGTATGGATCAAGCTTCAACATCGTACAAAACCTCATTGATTGGTAAAAATAAGCTTAAGCTTAGAACTCTTTAATGTACGCTTAATATATGAGAGAAAATAAAAGTATTTTTGAACTGACAAACAGACCGTGAGCACGGCTCGTTTTATGGGTGGAGAGTGATCAGTATATACCAGAAAAGAACGTGCATGAGCAAATAGTGCACGCTTGGTGATATCGCCGCCAATTTGCATATTGGATATTGCATCGAGGGATTGTCACATCATGTTGACAAGTATAATCGATCATCACCAATAAGGTTGGCTAAGGAGCAAGGAAACTGAATATTGTAAACGAGAAAATTGTCATTTAAATGTTTCTAACGTTAGAACATACAGTCATCATCAATCTGTTTTGCATTTGTTTCACAATAGTTCGTCTTGATTCTATAGAAAAAGTCTTCGTGGTATATCTATATATATATATTAACCGACATGAGCTGTATACCTACACACTTAATATTCCGTCAAACAACAATCACTTAACTATAAGCGTAGTGTTGCGTGTGGGGGTGGGTGCAGGTGTGGATGCGGATGTGAGTGTTGATGAAAATGCCTGCAGTTGTGGGTAAGCTTGATTTTGGGTGTGATAGTGTGCTTGTGGGTATAGACCAATAGAAAATACCACCAACATCCAAACTGACACTACAGCACGCGCACACTCATACGCGCATCCACCCGCACCAACATTTACACCCACTTATACCCGTACCTGACATCCACACTCTAAACGGTTAAGTTTCGAAAATAAGTAAAGACAGAAATATTTTTATGAAATAATGATCAAAACATTTATTTTGTAAGCGATTATACAGTTATCAATTAGCACTTCAATGTATGACGCTAAAAATGTTGCCAAAATGCCTTAAATTTCAATTTCTGCATGATTCAAATGCATAAGATAGAATAGGCGTGAGGACGCTCATAAAACAAACTTTTCAGACGCTTTCATCCTAATATATACACTATTAGATAAAAATCCTTTCTACGCGTTGAAACTCAACAGTAAAACTTCATGGTGTTCACAGCACCATTTTTTCCAAATACGTTTAAACACTGAGTAAAAGACTGCTTTCGAGCGTTTACATGTGTTTTTGCAAAATCTTATCTGCTTGGGTAAGAAATCTTCTATCGCATTCATTAATTAACATTCTTTGTAGATTAGCAGTGCGAATTGATTTTTATGTACTCATAAATAGTTCTCTATCTTTAACCTTCAAATCTAACGCTTATAAAAATAGCATTTGACAAAGGAAAAAACTTCAAGACCATTCTTGGCATTATTTCGCTTTTCGCGACAGTATCATTACTCTTCTTGTCTTCTTAACTTCTTCGTTATCTGTGCCAAAATATTTCGCCGCTGCAAAGTTCTATTGCAGAAAGCCGATAACCTATTGTTCTATCGATGTTAAATTGGTTGTGATATCTTGGTCGACTTTCGAGCACCACGAAGAAATCTTATCTTTTTTGCCCAAATAAGCATCAAAACGCTCTTTGATGAGGCCTCCAACAGAGTATCAACTTTGTTGGAATGAGCGATCTTCTGCCATGGCAACAAAGAGTGTGGCTGTGGCAGTGGGTGTGAGTGTTAGTGGGAATGTCTGCAGGAGTAAGTAAGTTTGGTTTGGGTGTGGGGTGTGGGTGTGGATCTCTCCCTTCTCTCACACCCACATCCACCCAAACCCGCACCCATATCCACCCCAACTCGCACCCACATCCACACCCTACACTCACACCCACACCCACACACCCACACCACACACCCACCCACACCCACACCCCACACCCACACTCACACCCACACCCACACACCCACACCCACACCCACACCCACACCCACACCCACACCCACACCCACCCACACCCACACCCACACCCCACACCCAAAATGCGGCGACCCATCATTTTGTTCAGAATTTTGGGCTCTTTAAGATGGCATTGTCGAAAAATTATTTCAACATCGTCTTCCCGGACTTGAAAAATATGGTTTTTGGTTTTCTAGAAATCTTTCCATCATAGTTCATTGATGACACTCTGCTATAAAGTGCATTAAATAGGCAACTTCATTGGCTATTAGAATCACTATTTGGATTTGAGCTAACTGTTTAGTATTATAGAAAAAAATCAAAAATAAAGTG